TATTAACTTGAGAACCTAGGCAATGTGGTTAAAATCTCAGAACTCTTATTACATGCCCAAAGCTCCAGTAATGGTGAACTCTGAGGCTAAGTCGGATTGGGAGATTGAATAGGTTTCTATCTGGTGTCTTATCTTGATTGGACAAAAGCCTTGGTCTTTATTATTTCGATGATAGTCCTCTTTCTCTCTCTCCCTCCCTATTGTTTTTCAAAAAAATAAAAAAGGAAAATGCCATCTTCATCATATGGAATCAACAAACTACAGATTGAATAGCACATAGAAGAGCATTATCAAGGGAAACTGGGTGGGTTTTATTGGAGACAATGGTTCCTTTTTTTTTTTACAAAATTTTGCATATATACAAATAAACAAGAAAAGTACTGGAAATATTTAAAATCATGACTATCATAATTGAAAGATGAAGTTGGATAATCTATATAAAAGATTACCTAAAACCCACCCAATGAAATGCTCTCCTTCCCCATAAAAATTGAGTCCGGATCACCTGCCCACAAGAACTCTACCCATGCCTATCCACAATACACTACCCCCCGTGAATTGGAAACATTTCCCCTTGCATAATACTATGTAGATGATGAGATGTTCTCCATGTATGGTTCCGATAAACGTTGGCAGAGTTCTTGTGGGCAGGAGATCCAGACTCATAAAAATTTACCTAAAATCTCTCTCTCTCTCTCCTCACCACACGTTCCTAATAACCTAAATAGTATCATCTTCTAAAATTTCTTTTAAACTATCTCCCCCACTTTCTCCTAAATTATCTCTAAGTCCTATTTGTCTCCTTAATTATCTCTAATTCCTATTTATCTCCTTAATTATTTCTAATTCCCCCACTTTTTATCTATTTCTACCAAAATTTTGAATTAAAAAATTTTAATAGTTATTTAAATATTCTAACAAAATTATATAATAACTTTAAAATATTTATTAAAAACATAAAAAAATAGTTATAATAGATTTAATAATTATGTACTAACAATATAAATTATGGTTTTCTGGATCATTCAATTTAAATAATAAAAAATTAACATTAAAAAAATAAAATATTATTTAAAAATTTCAATAACTAAATATCTTAAATAACAAAATATTAAAAGTAGCTAAATATTTACATAGAAAAATATTTAATATTATGTATTAACTTTAAAATAAATTTCAAATAACATAAAATTTTAAGTATTTTATATATTATTGCAATATTTAAATAACTAAATATTTTAACTAACAAAATATTTAAAATAACTAGATTTAAATAGTTAAATTAATGAAATTATGTAATAAATTTAAAAAAAAAATCTTAAAACTAGAAAAAACAATTATAACATAATATTAAAAGTAATAATAATTTAATATTTTACAAAATTAATAACAAAATCATGTAATAATAATATAAATTATAATTTTACAGATTATTAAATTCAATAAATAATTAATATTTAAAATTTTAAATAATGGTAGTATTTAATAATCTAGAAACTAACTTTCATAAAAAATAAATATTTATTATTAATAATATATATCTTAATCTATATTTATTATATATATTTTTATACTAAAATTAATATTTATTGTATTTTTAATAATTATTTATAAATCTATTTTTGTTTTGTTATTTAACAAAAAAATCAATAATTATTAGATATTAAACTACTATTATTTAACTTTTTAAATTTAATTTATTATATTTATTGTATTTTTGTTATAATTTATTTATTAATATTTATTAAAGATTAAACTATTATTAGATATTACACTATTTATTGATTAATTTAATATATATTTTAAGTATTAATTGTAATTTTGTAATTATTGTATTTTTTATTTTCATTATCAACATATTTTCAATAATTATGTATTTTCTCTATAAATTTTCAATAATTATTAGATATTAAGCTATTGTTAATTATTAGAGATTATACTATTAATTTAGATAAAATTAGGAGTGTTCATGAGTTGGTTCGGTTCAATTGTAGGCTGTTAGGCCAACCAAAGCGACCTGGTTGGGTTGGGGAGTTGGTCACTCAAAATCAATTGACCATTAGTGAAAATCATCCAACTCGGGTTGTATCGGTTTGGGTCAATTTTTGGTTTGGTTGGTTAGTTCAAAATATTTAAACTTAAAAAATTATATTTAAATTAAAAAAATCTATGATGGAATCATTAAAACATAAATTTGTGATATAAAATATTTTGGACTAAGAAATGTGGGAACTTTTCCACTTTCCCGTATTAAAAGATTATATTAAAAATATAAAATATTAATATATATCTATGGTCAGGCCATTCGATTTTGGTCGATTTACAAATGGCCAAAGTGAAATTGATCCAAGTTGATCAAGTTTGGAAATTGTTGAACCAAAGCAGATTGGAAAATACTAGAAATTGACCAACTCAAGTCGAGTTGATCAGCTTAGCCGGTTTCATTAGTTTGATGAACAACCCTAGCCAAAATTAATTATTGTTATTTTTGTTTTGTAAAAAAATTATTAAAAGTAGTATATAAAATATAAGGGAAAATCTATGATGCGAGAAAGATATGGTATCAGAAGAGTTTTGACGAATCAAAATCCGCCCATGAATTTTGATAAATAACACATGATTGGCTACCACATTTATGATACTAATTGATTGGTAAAAAAATTTCGGATATCATATCTTTCCCATATCATAGTCGAACTCAAAATATAAATAAATATTAATTATTAAAAAATTGAAAATATAAGACAATTGTATAATCTTTTGTGTTTCTATTGTTTAGCTTTCGCTTAACAAATCCCGTGTATCGCATGGGTCCCCGTTAGTACAATACTAAAACTTGAAAATAAATGAATAAATTAAAATATGATCTATGTATTTGGATCTTATGAAAGTGTCTTGCATTTAAAAGGGGGAGGTGCCAACTAGCTTGGTAAAGTCTCTAGCTAGTTGTAGCGGAGACCTGGGATTGAGTCCCCCATTCGCATGGTTGACGGAGGAGGGTTTATGTACATGCCTAAACCACATTAGATTGTGTATTAATACTCTGTTTGCACTATTTCCTTCACTTTATTTTAATTCAGGATCTCAATAGAAAAAAAAAAAACAAAAAACAAAAAACAAAAGGGATATTTATGGTTTGTTCCCACTCGAAAATTTTTATTGGTTTACTGAATGTATTGTTTTCAAATCCCCACCTATGCTATAGTTAGATCTATTCATGGGCCGGGTAGCCTGATGGACCAACTAGCCTAGCCCGGTCCATTCTAAGTCGGGCTTGGACATGATTTTAGGCCCATGGACTCGGGCTCGGGCCTAAAACATTGGGCTCAACCTTTTTATGGGTCGGGCTTGGGCTTTCTCAAAAAAACCCGGCCTGCACCTAAGCTCGACTGATAATATATGATATATATAATATTTTTTCTTCATTTCTATTCTCTTTTTTGAGTTTTGAGGTTTTTTAATATAAATAAAATAGTTTTTTATTGAATGAAAAAGATAAAAGTCATTTTTTTAATGTTGGTTGGGCTCAGGCTCAGGATCGGCTCAGCCTGGTGGCCCGTGAATAGGTCTAGCTACAGTACCCCCTTGAGTCATGATTGATTCCCCCCATCTGTTACTACTCTCAACTTTACAAATTCATAAAAATTTATATGGTGGAGGAATCAATAAAAACTCCAAAACAAAAACTAATTGAATTTGGTTGTTAATCTCAATGCATTGCAGTACTAGTGCGGTAATCCTTACGTGGCCTTAAGGGATATAAAATTGAGGGAAATAGGGATATCAATGGGACAGGTTCAATTTGGAATAGGTTCACATTCAACAAATAAAGCCTATAGATCCACTGGGTCCACCTCAAAATGAACCAAACCTAAAATCCGATTGAGGCTGACCCTACCCTACCCGATAGGGTTGGGCCAGTGCAAGTTTACCACGTAACCCAACCCAATGACATCCCTCTAGGAAAGTTGTTAAAGGAATTTTGATAAGATCTTCTGTTTCTCTCTTATTTCCTATCAAACCAAATATGGCCTAAAAGGGTATTCGTCCACATGTATTTTTTGTTGCCACATCAGCAAAATTATATTGTTTGTGCTGATGTGGTTGTATACATTTGGAGAACACCCCCCAAATGATCAAGGCCTCAAGGGGGTTAACATGTATTTTCCCTGATTTGAAACAGAAGATTGGTAATTAAGAAACTCTACTATAAAAGCCTTTCTTTCCTTGTCAAAGCCTCAAAGGTTTAAAACATAGAATATTCTCGGTTTGTTCACATAAACCCAACCCTTACGAAAATGAAAGCATCATCATGTCATTTAATTTGCTAGCTACTTTGACGGTTCCAATTTCTTTGGATATCTTTCAAAGACCTTTTGCTTCTTCAAGGCATGATTCTTTTTAACTAACCAACTTGTTATAAAGATAATCGTTTAATTTCCTAGAGTGTCAGATCCAACACACACCCCCTTAATTTTCTGAATTTGATAATCTTCAGTTACCCGGCCCAAGTTGAATGCTAGTAGACCCAAATACAGCATTTAATTATATATTCATGTTTGGCATAAATTAAACAGCATACGGAAGCTAGCTAGATGTGTTCCTAACCACCAAGCGCAATATAGAATTCCAGCCCCATTAAAAAGAGTAAAGACCCATCTGCTCAACACACAGGACCATGATCACTAATGGAATATCAAATTGATTATTCAACAATAACTGAACTAACTAATAAACAAACAAAACAAGCTAATGGGATGAATAAATGCCCCATCAGCATGCACATGGCCATGCTCCCTACTTCTCTTGGGTCATTGAGGTTGTTAATTATATCTATCCCTCTTTTTAAAAAAAAAATAATAATAATTAATTAATTAAAAAAATAAGGCATGATGCAAAGAATCCCTTGAGAAAAGTAGCATTAATTAAAATTGAAGGAATAATTAAAAACACACACAGCAACAACAACTACAACTACAGCAGCAGCAGAAGCAACGACAAAAACAGCAACAACAACGACAATAAGGTTTTGATTATTAAGCACACCATTAATAACAAACAAGCTAGACATAGCCAGGTCTCAAATGTTATTGCTTCATGTTCATAACAAATATCCCGTCTTTCTATATATTCATAAAACAAACCACAGTACTACACAGACACCAAAGCATCCTGCTCCACCCATCTCACCCATTTTCTTCTGTTGATTGTTCCTCGTAGAAACTGGGAGATCAGATCAGTAGGCTCTGGTGTGGGGCTCTTCAGCTTCTCTTCTTGCATTTCTCCACAGCTCTTGGCGCTGAAAATTTTAAATGACAGAGATCAATGGAAAGGAATATTGTGTCTGGACAGAACCCTCCATGACAGAGGTGAAATAGTTTAAAGTATACAGTGCCCTACTGTGAAAATAATGGTACTACTGTTGTAACTTTGTTTCTAGTGGTAGAAACAATACTGATCTGAGAAAGGGTATTTACCACTGTCTGCTGCTTGTAATTGGAGCTGACTTGCAAACAAATGTCTCGTTTTCAGCTTTTGTGACAGAAGGAGGCTTAGCTAGCTTCCACCTCTTAAGCTATTTTAATATGGTAAATAAATAGCTCGAGGTCTGAATGTTTTTGGTCCTTAATTTCATCTTAAAGATGGAATAGGAGAAAGAAAAATAAAACAAAATTCCTCTGATGGAAATGATGACAGAAAGCCCAAAACCAAAACCTTTGTTTGATCTATGGTTACCCATGCTTGTGTATTAAGGAACTCACCAAGTCCAATTGCCTCAGATCCTTTCATTATTCGCAAACGCTTGCATGAATCCACAAACATCCTGGTTGAAACCAAAGAGATCAAAGTTAGCAAAATTTGCTTAATTTCTAAGGAGATCTATTGAATTGGATCTGCAATTCTGCATCAACTTCTGGTAGCCATGGCCACAAGACTGTGTTAGCTAGAGAGCTCACTGGCACAAAGCTGTGACTAGAGCACCTGAGAATTGGATTCTACCATTTTTAGTTCTGTAACAGTTGGAAGAAGAACACAAAGATGGAACTTACTCCCAAGGGACATCGCCAACAAGCATCCAATCACCATCTTTGTCTTCATACGTGGGCACGTACTCTGAGCCGTTCAGCAGATCCATCAACTTGCTCTCATTCATGAAATCCTTCATTCCCTGGGGCCCGCAGTTACCTTCACCCAACAACAGCACACACAGAAGAGCAAGAACCAGCAGGGATTACTTGTCTTGATAAAACAACAGTAAGAGAAAGAATTACAGCGTAAAGCTATATATAGGAAGAAAGAAAGAAAGAAAAAAAAAATGATTTGATTTAAAGAAAAATGAATTAAAAGGAATTAATTAATATATCATAATAAATGCTAATTGCGTACCAATGGTGAAGGAGCTGAACATCTTTCCTAGAGCATCAGAGAGCTCCTGGTAGCTCTTGTACATCTTCAAGTCCACCTTACGTAGGTAAGGTGCGCCGTCCATGCTAACCTTAACAAACGCTGCGCTGCTGCTAACCTTCTCACCTTCCTCTGTGCTGCTTTTCTGGACAGAAAGTATGTTCTTACGGAACGATCGGACTGGTGGCCAACCCACCACCTGTGCCCTGAAATCCCCATTTTCACGTTAAGATAATACTGATTTCTATACAGCTCTACTCTTTATGCAAATTAATTAAAACTATAGAAAAATGGGGAAAAAAACAGAAAAACTTTGATAAGATAAGATGCTTCCCATGTATTGTAAATCAATATAAAAGCTTATGGTATTGGAATTTGGAAGAAAGAAAACAAATTATTCTTGGAATGTGTAGGAAAAATGTAAATTTTAGGCTTAGAGGATGGAATGTGTTTCAATTAATTCTACATATTCATGGTTGGAAAAAAGTTTCTTTGTTTAGACTGTACTTTTAATATGTTCTCTTTTGTCTTCTTGTATTTTCCTGTGGTTGATATTTACTCAAATTTTAACAATTTTCATTGTTTAAAATTATCAGAAACTTTTGCAAGGCAAAGAATGTGGTCAGTCACCTTCCTGACTTCCATGTATCTTCAACTTCATTAAGAAATACAAGAGAAAAAAGTGATAATTTTTAAGAAACATGTTGAGTTTTCTTTTTCTGTTTTAATTAGTTTGGTTTCAAGTAGAGTTGAGATGATGATGATGATAAGTATCATTATTATTATGTTAAGATCTAGTTCCTTTTTGAATCATCGCCACTAGGCACTAGCTTTCCAATTCAAAAGGGAAGTGAAAAGTATATGTTTTATTTTTTTTTTCTAATTTTTAATGTTTATAAAAAACCGCAAAAAGAAAAAGAAGATATTCTTTTGGAGGGAAAAAGATGTTTGGCCTCAATATTCACCACCACAAGAACACGAAATAGGAAATACTGTTAAGAGAAGGAAATAATAGATAAAAATTCATTGAACACAAACACAACAAGAGACAGAGAGAGAGAGAGAGAGAGAGAGAGAGAGAGAGCGAGCGAGCGAGCTAACTTGGCCGGGGGCTTAGCTAGGTCGTTAGTGCATGGAAGAAGGTTCTTCTCCTTGGGTGAATTCTTCTTCTCGGATGGGTCCATAACCGACTCCTTAGAGGGAAGGTTAAGCTTGAGATCAACAGTCTCACAGAAGCCTCTCTTGCCACCATTCTTAGTCGGGGAGGGAGTCGACTCGCCTTCACTTCCGCCTCCGCCACCAGGCAGCCCGAGACGGAGCTCAGTCTCTTCAAAATTCAGGCTATACTCGTCGCGCTCCGCGCCGAGCATGTTCGCCATTTTCCGGCAAACTTCCATGAAAATATTCCGTCAATGAAGCCTCAACTTTGGCGTCTTCTCTACTTTCTTTGGTTTTTTTCTACCTTTTCGTCTACTGGGTGGGGTGGTGTGGTTGAGAGAGATGGATATAAGGAGAGGTCTATAAAGGGATGAAGAGAGAATAGAAGCAGAGTAAGAAACGTGGATAAGTGTAGATGGAGAGAGAAAGAGAAGTGAAATAAAACTTCGGAAGAAGGTGTATTTGGCTTAGTGTGAATTAATATATGGATGAGTATGAGTGCGCACTGTCCTATTGGGTTTCCACCGAGCAGATCCTGACACGTGGACATATAATGTTAGCTGGATCTTCTGAAGCGTGGCCTTGGGAAGCTGACAACATGTTTACGTCAGTACGCGAATGATTGTGGTGAAGCCAGTGGACAGCCCAGTTGTCTTCTGTACCCTTCTCCCTTTCTGGCCTTAGTCCTTCAGTAGTTCTGTACTCTCTCTCTCTCATCAGTCCCACCCATCTCTTTCTTAATCTCTTTTTTTTTTTGATAAGTCTTCTCTTTCTTAATCGCCAACTAAACCATAACCCTTTTTCATACATAAATTATTTTCAACATTCACAGTTTCTTGAATTATTTAAAAAAAAAAATTAATTTGCTTGTCTCTCTCTCTAATGGTAAGTTGATGAGTTTGAACTTCACTTAATTAAGATGAGAATTTTTGTGAATTATTAAATTTTATAATAAGAATGAACTGTAATGAAGGGGCCCTATTGAACCACCGTCTCTTAATTTCTTGTATCATAATTCCTGTTTATTAGTTTTCTGAATCATTTGAAAGAAGTTGAAGTAACTACTTGAACTGGTTCCCCATGATTCCCTAATCATAATCAAGCAACATTTTTGAGCCCAAAGAAAATGGTTGGACCTAATGCTTGCCCCAATTCACTTTCTAAACAATAATGATTCAGTTTGGAAAAATAGAGGAAATTTTGGCTATTCTTTCTCATTTTCTTGTGGAAAAAAGCTTTTTATTTTGTCCATTAGTCTTGATTAAAGAATGTATGATTGAAACAATTATGCCATTCTAGTTGAAATGGTTTTCACCCTCATTATTCTTCTTGAAAAATCTTCATTTCTAATTATAAGCTAGTGAATAGAGCTTTCTGCTCTTTGAAGGTCAGGTAACATGTCCCCTCTCTCTCTCATCCTTTTAATATTTTCATGATCATTAACAATAAAGCTTTTCTTTTTCTTTATAATAAAAACAATTTTAGTTGAAATAATCTTTATAAGAAAGCTGTTAGAAGTAATTTTGGAGATTCAAAAGTAGGAAAAGATGGGCAAGAGTGAGCATTATATTGCTTTGCATTTGCAGTGGGAGCTTGGAGGGGTTAATTTGTCATCTTATCAAAAAATGGGATGTGCCCAGATCACTCCACTATTTTTAGTTTAGTTTAATTTAATTTTTTTTTAATGTGGATTGTGTGCTTTTGTTTGCTGAGGCCCATGGAGGGAAGTAGGAGTGGGGCCCAGGTGTTGGAGGGGTCGGACAAGTCAACCGGTTGGAAGCATGTGCTGAGATTCATTGGGGGCGAGACTCGAGAGAGATGTTGGGGCCCATCAACTCCATGTGACTTTGTTGGCATGTCGTCTAGCGTCTAACCCCTCTCCCATGTGCGCCGCTTCAGGGAGTCTACTCTCTCTCTCTCTCTCTCTCTCTTAATTAATTTAACTTATATTTAGTTTAATTAATACAACCCCTCTACAGTCTACACTCCTTAATACCTCCCCCCTAATCACCACGTGGCCCAGTCTATTCACGCTTAATTGTGCAATCAGGATGGAACCCAACCCCAACAGGGACATTTTGGTCATTTCCATCTATACAGCCCATACATTGCCACGTGTCATGTGGATAAACTCATCAGCAATGTTAGGAAATTGCAATATGTACAATATTGACCAGTACTAGTACTAAATAAAGATGGCATTTTCTCCTAATTTATTACAGACTTACAGTTATGGAGTTAATGGACGAAAACGCCCTTGGTGTCTCTGTTCAATGTTACCTCCCCTTGGAACCAGTGTGAACACATACAATGTCCCTACTTCTCAATTAATGGCGTCGGTGGTCGGAGGCAAAACCCAAAACCAAAACTGAAAGAGTAATTTTATGCTTTTTACCTATTGATTATTCAATTAAAATACTTTAACATAGTCCTACATTTTTAACGAGAACCTTCTATGAATCTATTAATATGATCAAGATTTGTCTGCATAAATTAACAAGGATAAAGTTTTTACTCTAATTAAAAATTTTCTTTCTTTCTTTCTTTCTTTCTTATTAAGATAAATTCATGACAGTTAGTCAAAATAAAGCAGACATGAGTTCTCCATAATTTTCTATTGAAACACTCTTGAAAGAGCCCACAAGATCAAATGACTATGGGCAGGCTTCTCTAAAAGGTTTCTATCATTCTAGAGCCTATCTTCTCGCCTATAGGCTTCTAGCAATAATTTCCAATTTGAGTATCTGGGTTTGGATTGGCAAACTCAACCCATTTTATAACTGGATCCGGATGGAGAAATTTTGGATAAAACCCATAAAAAAATAATGCAGAAACACAGCACCAAAACCAGTCAATTTTGCACTAAACACGGTTGTACACAATCCGGTACATTATTAAAAGCACAATCTGGTACATTATTCTAGCAAGCTCTTAAAAGCTCTCATTCTGTAATCTGTGATTGAGGTTTCATCCTTGTCTGCAATATGTATTATTAGATGTTTTCAACATATCACATTCCTCTGCATTAAGAGTACGGTGCCGGACAATTCATATCTTCAATTCTATGTCTAGTAACACTAGGGAAGCAAAATTTAGTATCAGAAACAGAAACTGAAGAGATTTGTTGAAGCAGAAGGAGATGAAGTAATCAATGAAAGAAAAAAAAAGCTTGGCATCTTAGAGATCATATCTTTACTAGGTCCAAGGGATCCAAGAAAAGAACATTCAATAGGAAATTAAGTGAAGCTGCCAAAATCTTAGCATTAAAGGGGCTAAGTCATCACTAGACTCACTACTACTGGCCAAACACTTGTCATGACAGATGTCCTATCAACGAGGGTTATAAAATTGCAAATCTGTGAGTTTTAAACCCCCTAAAGCTGTCATAACTTGTCAACCATGCTTGCAATTATGGGCCATGGTGGAGGAAGAACAGATCTTACGGTCATGATCTTCATTATTGGATCAATAGTTTATGATGCAATGACTTGGGACCAAGGATCAAAGTATCGAAACGGGCGCTGACGTAAGAATTGCCTAGAATGACACCATTTCAGAACCAGATTTGAAATCTTTGTTCTCCTTGATGAATATATAGAGCTTTGAATATGATATGGTGTGGTATCGATACTTTAACCCTTGCTTGAAACCCCATTTAAAGATAAATCAGTCGGTGGGTTGATTGGGTCAAACCAATGACTAGCACAATGAGAAAAGGAGAATTAAGAAAAGACTGCCCCTTGATTTGGTTTAGTTATCAGCTATTCTGCATGATTCAACTTGGTTTTAATTTGGTAAATGATCAATTTTGGAACTGGAATTTTCAATCAATTGTTCTTTTTAAAAACATTGTTTGGACGTGGGGACTGTAGAGCCTTATCACTATCGATGGGTTGTGAATTGGGTGGTGCTGGCGCTATCACCCCTGTCACGCAAGTATTCTCTGTGGGCTGGTTATTCACGTTCGAATGAACAGGGCATGTGGATTAAACAAGGGTGTTAGTTCTTAGGGTTTGGGCAAGAAATTACTAGTCGGAGGGCCTGTATAAAGGTTGGAGTGAGGCCTTGACATAAAAAAAGGAAAAAAATTTTGATCTTAAGTTCTAGCTTTTCAAGTAGTTGGCCGACATGGGTAATGCCACTTTATGCTCCCATCAAGGTCAGACAAAGCCTTTCTCGCCAAAATTGGGTCTTCACCATCCATTTAACATAACCCTGGCCACAATTGTTATCTAATTTAGAAAGCAAAAACAAGATTTTAAAGATTGGCATGGCATGTTCACTATTATATTAACCCGCTATATACATTTGTGTTTACAGTAGATTCCAACACCGAAAATAAATACCGTTTGATCTTTGCCTAGGTATGAGATGAAAAGCCCACGTTGTAAGTACTTTTGAGGACATTTCGATAACCATGTAAATTCAATCAAGATCAAATCACACTTATTAATTATGGATATGAAATGCCCACATTGACTTGCATTATTATATCACCAACCATGAACCAATTCATTTGATTAACAATGCCAATAATCTTGATTTTCAATCAAAAGGTAATGAAAAGAATCACCATCATTATCATCTAAGTCTTGTTTCCAGTATAACAGATACAGATGGGCTACGTTGAATCCTGTTTTGTCATTCTCTTCTATTTATTGTCAACTTATAAACGCTTAAATCATTTTTTTTTTACGAAAAAGAATGAAGCTAATCAATTAAGGATTGATTCTATCAGGACCAACCCACATTGTGGGGGCCATGCAACTAACAGACTTCATCAAGAACACACCTGTTTCAATTGCTAGATATATAATCAAACGGCTTATAATATGCCAACCACTTGTATTATTATTAGAGCATGATAAATAGTTATCCCATCAACAATTTCTGGATATTGCCCAAGCAAACTTACCACCAAAATTATCACAACTCATTAAGCTTAGCTTTTTATAGGCCAAGGTGGATACTAAAAAGCAGGTCAGAAGTCACATCCACTAGAAGGAAACATCCCCAACCCTAGCTGTGCCCCGCCCCTGTCAATATCCCCATTCTGGATTAGCTTCCAGCCTTAACTGCATAAACCCATCAAGCCAAATTCCTCCTAATGAAATCAGACCTCAGCATTCAAAGGAATTATGCTTGCACAAAAATGTCTTTTCTTCTTCTTCTTCAACTGTTTGTTTGGACCTTGAGTCAAAAATTCAAAGGACAAACATGTAAACACAACAAATATTTTGGAAAACCAAACGACTGCTAATCTCGAATGAAAGTGACTGACACTAAGAATCTGGCTGTTATCATTATAAAGACTTTAGGTTTAGTAGTTGCTTTGTGGGCCTAGTGACTGTGATTAAAAGACCATAATTAGCATTTCTGTCAATCACATTGTGATGATCATTCTGTGAATATCTGACTGGCAATTGAGCCATGCAATTTGGGATGTTAATCCCCACTAA